GGTATCACAAGGTTCTTAGTTCAATCCAGGTGCAGAGCCTCTGTAGGTGACCTGGAACAAACTACCTGCCTTCCAAGTTCTCGAGTTCCTCATGCATAAAATAGGCACAAAAATACCCTGCAACAGTACCTCATTATTCACAAATGCTTCTGTTCATGAATAATTTGGTTCACAAGTAGAAGCACTCTGCAAAATTTTGCTTCCTTTCATGAACTCTGTATGGGTGACAAAGAGGACCATAGCTGTCTTTCTGCTCTAAACTATGGCCTTGATTTTCATCTAGTTGAGATTGCAGTTACAGACAGACCTGTGCATACTTGCTGTGAAGCTTTCTTGTGTACTTTTTAACATATACAGTACCGTATGGTATTATTCAATCCAGCAGGGCTCTAAAGAAAGCACAGAGTAAGCATGGCAGTATAAAGAAGTGCAAAGTGGTAATGACGATGACAAAAAGTGCAAAGCAAGAATAAAGTTAACAAGAAAGTGCAGAGCAAGATTAGCAAGAAGAAAATAACCATTGACTTGAAGAAGGAAATTGTAGAAAAGCATGAGCATGGTATTTATGTTACTGATCTGGCCTCGGAGTACAAGATGGTGAAGTCAAAATCTCAACTATTTTGAAGAATAAAGATGCCATGAAAGGAGCTGATATTGCAAAAGGTGTAATGATGTTAACCAAGCAGAGGACACAAGTGCTGGAAGAGGTGGAAAAACTTTTGTCAGTGTGGTTGAATGAGAAATAGCTGGCAGGTGATAGTGTGAGGGAAGCTGTGACCTGAGAAAAAGCCAGGAAATTGCACAGTGATTTACTGCAAAAAAATAAAAAATAAAAAAAAAATCCCTCTGTGAGTGCAACAAGTGATGAATGTAAAGGCAGTAGAGGATGGTGTGATAAATTCCACAAGAGAGGTGATACCCACAGTGTGACAAGACATGGTGAGGCTCCCAGTTGTGACAAGGCCACCGCAGAGGCCTCCAAGACAGAATTCATGGAATTCATGAAGGCAGAAGAATATACAGCTTAACAAGTGCTCAGCTGTGATGAGACGGGGCTCTTCTGGAAGAAGGTGCTAAACAGAGCCTATATCACACAGGAAGAGAAGGCACTGCTGGGGCACAAACCCATGAAACAGAGTGACCTCTTGGTGTGTGTAAACTAAAGTGCCAACCTGAAGATTAATCCACCACTGGTCTACCGTTCCTGGACCTCTTGTGCATTTAAGGAAGAGAACGTGAACAAGAACAGACTGCTTGTCACGTAAAAGGCCAATGCAAAGGTTGGGTCCCAAGGCAATTGTTCACAGAGTGACTGCATGAGGTGTTCACGTCCACCACGAAGGGGTAACTTTCTGACAACCAACTTCCTGAAGGTGACTTCTTCTGTGGAAAATGGCCCAGAACACCCTCCAAATGTATAGCTGCTTTGGATACTGAGTATGACTTCATAAAGTTCGTTTCTCCCCAAATGTAACACCTCTTTGGCAGCCCGTGGACCAGCAATTGATCTGCAACTTCAAGAAGGTACACACAAAGGCACTTCTCACCAGGTGTTTTAATGTCACTGAAGAGAAATCTTAGACTCTGAAAGAGTTCTGGAAGAAACATTTCAGCATTCTCCACTGCATCAATTTCACTGACAAAACCTGGGAACATGTTGCATATCAGACCTTAAAGTCAGTCTGAAGGAAAGCGTGGCCAGAATGTGGCCAGTCACTGACCATGACTTGGAAGGGTCTGAAGCACATATAGTGGAGGAGATTGTGTCCATCGGAAAGAACATGGGTCTGGATGTCAGTGGTATGATGGATGTCAGACTTAAGGAGCTTGTTGAGAATCATAAGGAGGAGATGATGACAGAAAAACATGCTAATTTGAGAAAACAACAGAAATTGTTTGTTGAGGATCATCCCCCCGAGGAAGAGGGAGACAGCGAGGAGAATGGCAGTGATGTAATAAAATCCATATGGAAAAGATGAAACGAGTGCCAGGATTTCATTGAGAAGTACCACTCCAAAATAACTGTAATGAACAGAGTATTGTGTCTGATGAATGATAATATGGCCTCTTATTTTTGGAGGGTTATGCATCACATGAAAAAAACAAGTGATATTAGACAGACTTTTCTTCAAAATTGACCCTGCAGTTAAGAGACAAAGAAGAAAAGAAGTCCCTGAAGATCTCCCCAACGTCCTTATGAAGGGGGCCTGTTCCTCCTCCAAACCATAATCTCCTCCCCCACCTTCCTGACTTCTGTGTCAGAAATTACCTCATGCAAAGGTAGTGTTCTCTATACTGTACTGTACTTTACTTCATATTTTTGTAGTTAAAAATACATACAGTTCAGATAGGATTAACCCTATTTATACTGAAACTTTTTGGAAGATTTGATTTGGTTCGTGACCACCTTAGTTCATAAATAGAATCATGGAACAAATTAAGTTCATGAACAGAGGAACCATTGTATTTACAATGAGTTTGTTTTTTTTTTTTTTTTGCTACCAGGAATTGAACTCAGGACCTTACACTTGCCAGGCAGGTGCTGTGCTGCTGAGCTATATTCCTGGCCCCTGAGATTTCTAGTTTTAATGTTTCACATGTTACATATTGTATACCTTTTAAAAATGTGCCTATTCATTTGTTATATGCAAAAGAATATATCTGCTAAGATGAAGGAAATGTGATTTGAAAAATGTCCTAGATGACTTTAGGATACTCTCATTCCTCTTGGAAGGCTCAACACCTTAATTTTCTGAGTAAGTTTAGATTTTTCATTAAGGAAGGCAAAGATGCCAGGACTTCATGACCAGTAACAAAAGAAATCAATCTCTTGTATACATATCTACAAATGACTAGGTTGAAATTAACCAGAGTTAACTGTGGGCACCTTATTTGTTTGAATTAATTAAAAATTTTACTTCTAATATTCATTCCATCTTCTTAGAATATATCCCATTATGATTAGTTTCAATGTCATCAGTGCTTATACAAGAAAGCTGCATGAGTCTTTTGTTGACTAATATTTAAAAGTAAAGTAATTCTTATGTAAATAAATGATTTGTTGTTTTTGCTTTAAGGGAACCCTTAGCATTGGAAAATGTAAACTTACAGAAAGTGGGACATTTAAAAGCCAAGATTCATTGGATAGGGTAGACTACACTGACATTATGCTAATTAGAGATTTGAAACACTGACACCTGTGTTACTAAGTGAGACACAATACAGCTTCAAGGTTGCTGTCCTTTTGTTTATTTAAAATGTTATCCTTGAAATAACAATGCTATAAATATTAATAAAAATACTAAGAGCTTGGCAAGTGGATTCCAGGAAGACTAATGACTCCCAGTTAAATATCAAGTCATTATTCTAACAGACCTTTTACTAGGCAGAAAAGATTGAACAATGTTGTAAGTATTAAGGTCTTAACAACCATTCAATCGAGACAAAAATTACATCAACTAATTATTTGACCTAAATAGGCTGTTTCTGGATGAATTAATCAGCTTTTGGTTATCATCTCACAATGCCCAGCACTGTTTAGGCTGTTTTTTTTTTTTTTTTTTTTTTTAACTCTAATTTGAAGTCTTTCCAATGGGTGTGAGGGTGTGCATACACACTACAGCCCTACAAAATTATTTGTGTAAGCCAGTAACTCATGTCCATGGACTCTTAGGTAGTGTGATGTATGCCAATATAGATATATCTCAAAAGCACAACAGTGAACAACAAAATTCAGTGGCCTAAGAGTAGATAGAGCAAAACACCATTTTGTTATCCATGTATCAAAGTTCTAGTATAATGTCATACATTATGGATATTGTATCATGGCTACAATTTGTAGAAATAAAATTATGGAAGATGACTAGTAAAAATGCACATAAAATGCCTAGGCCTAGGTGGATGACAAGATGGCAGAAACAAGGTCATGCTGTCACTCACTGTGACGGTGTGCTGTAAAATGCGTAGTGTGACAGCCATTGACTCCCATGTGAGAAAATAAATACTAGGATGTTTGTAACTTAATTTTGTGTTATAATATGAGCATCTTTCAAACTGAGTTGAACCTATTTAATATTTAAGATGATATAATTGTATCATTCCATTTCCATTGTGTCTAATTACAGGTTGAGGTGGTAAGGCTGAAGAAACTGTCACACTTCCAGTTTTCTCCCTAAATCCTTTTCACACGAAGTGGCACTGGTCAAAATAATGTAGAACACGGTAAACCTGAAAGTCTCTGTCCATGGAGTAATATTTTCTTTCCTTAAAATTTGTGCTGTAAATATTTTCTACCACTAATGAGTTTTGTCTAAAATTTCATAGATAGAACATCAGTTTATTCTCTCTATTGAAATAATTTTTTTTTTTTTTTTTTGTCTTTTTGAGACAGGGTCTCGCTAAGTAGTTCAGGCTGACCCTGAGCTCACTTTGTAGCTCAGGCTGCCCTTGAACTTGCAACAATCCTCCTGCCTCAGCCTGCCGAGTGCTGGGATTACAGGCGTGTACCACCATGACTGGCTTTATTGAAATAATTAATAGAACATATTTTGTCCAACAAATAAAAGTAACAGAGAAAATTATTCATCTAATATAAAATTATTATCATATATTAGATTTTATAAGAGAAACAAACATATAAAGAATTTTCAGTGTGATAGTCAGTAATGAGCTATCTCTGTGTGAATGTCTAAGAATGAATGCAACCGCATGTAAGATTAACCATATTTTGATTTGTTATAATTTGGGAACTCTTAACAGTTCCATCTGATTGTCACTCTGACTTCCACTGTACTCATTTTAGGTCATGTGTTTGTCTGATTACTTTAAATTAATTTTGTTTAGGGTGTACATCTTACTCTGCTGATGTGTAAATGAAATGCTAAATTCTAAGACCCATTTATTTCTTTGTTTAAACCTGGTGTTTTGTATACAGTACTAAAAAGTAGCATAAAACTATAGCCTATTCAAGAAGATGCATTTATTTCCACAGAGGTCTTCCTTTGAGATCAATCAAATCAGGCAAGAGAAAATCCTCTGAAGTCAACAAAATATACAGTGCATCTCTCTGCTCCTTGTCAAGTACCTCAGATCTGCATGTGAGGATGGCCTAAAGCCCTGCTAACAGACTTCAAGAAGAAGCAAAAAAACAGCACGAGTAAAATATTGTAAATAACTGCCTATTTCTATACCAAAGTTCAAACTTCTCTCTTGAAATGGTAAACCAACTCAAATAACAACCTTGGGGAATGTCCTTGTTTAGGGATAATTAATGGCCTTGTACTTTACTCACTGTTTATTATGTACAGTCAAAAGGAAACAAAAATATAAAGGCTCAAAGGCTAAAGTTACAGTGAAGTGTATACAGTGGATTTATATGTGTTTGGTTTTAGTTTTGAGAAACTGTTAATTTTGACTTCATATATTTTGTTTTGCAGAACAAAGAAGACCACATTTGCTAATCATGTGGGAGTTGTAATCACTTTTAAAGGAAAGCTTTAAGCCATGTCAGACCTAATGAGGCATCTTTCATTTAATATACTCAAATGACTGAGCTGGTTTTACATTGCGAGCTTCAAGGTGGGGAGGTAATAAAATATCTTTATCGCTAATGACACAACAAAAACAACAACAAAGCTCCACAATACATAGTTATGTTCCAATATTCTAAAATGTTGTAGTTTGAACAGTATGCTAGAAAATATTGTACAATATAGGGAAAAGATTAACATTATTGTTACCTCGATGGTTGATGATAGCAATTGACTAGTGAAATGATTTTCCCAAACTGTGCTTTACTGAATGCAATTTCAGTAATATGGAATTGTATATTCTAAGAAATATGGGGAACTGTAGGAAATTGTTGCATAAACTGCTATGACTCAAGTAGACATTGTGATGAAGTATAATCTCCTCAAGTAAACAGTTATTATGTGAAGAATGGAGAAGCAATCACACAATTTAAGTGTTTTGCTTTGGCAGCTCCACTCATATTTTCCAGCTCTGCCTTTCCCTGGGATGATGCATTCCTGCTGGTCCACAGTTTGTGGAAACAGGCAAAGAGCCACGACATGCCAGGGTGAGAATCTGTGTAGAAAATATTGCTTTAATTCAGAGATCAGCGAAGTGTTCTTAGGCCTAATTTGTTTACCTTAACCCAAAGGACTACTGGTGGACACTGACTCCAGATGAGGCTTCTCTGGTGACTGAACACGTTTATGACTTATATCACGCTGTGCCACAGGTAGTAGCTCAGGAATCCCTTTTTGAAACTTTCAAGGAAAGGAAATTATCACAGAGCCCATTTGCTGACTTTCTCAGTACCCCTCAGGGTGTTTGTGAAGGAGGCTAAGTTCCTTTGCCCAAATTTGGATCCAGTGTTCTCTTCCACAGGCCATCAGATCTCTGATAGTCATTCAAGTCCACGTTCAGTGGACCTCAAGATTCACTTACGCTAAGACAGTAAAAAATCCCAGGAGGTATCTTACATATCCCACACAAGAGGTTGTCCTTTTCATTCTATATTAGTACATATGAATGTCCAGATAAATGGGTTTCATTTTGGCAAATCTGTACAGACACAGCACACTTTGACCACTTTCACCCCCATCTTATCTCTCGCCCTGCCCTCCCTTTAATCTCATAACTTTGGGCTTTTATTTATTTATTTATTTCGCTATTGGAAATCGAACTCAAGACCTTGCACTTGCCGGGCAGGCGCTTGTGCCACTGAGCTATATCCCCAACCCATGGGGTTTCAAAACATATATTTTGATCACATCCACTCTCTTATTTACCTCTGTATAGCCACCCCTTATTCGTTTCCTCTTGTCTAACAATAGCCTTTCTTCTAATTTCTTGTCGTTTTGTAGATTCCACACATTAGGGAAATATGCAATATTTATCTTTTTGAATCTGACTTACTTATTTAACTCAGAATAATGATCTCCCAATCCACTGATTTTCCTTCCAAATGACCAAATTTTGCTCTTGTTTATGGTAGAGTAATATTCCCTTATATACTTACACAGAACACATTTTCTTTATCCATTCGTCAGTTAATGAGCACCTACACCAGTTCTATACATTGGCTTTTGTGAATTGTGCTGTAAGAAACATACATATGGGGGCTGGGGATTTAGCTCAGC